AGCGATCACGCCACCTGCTCCTGTTCGCACCTCACCAACTTTGCCATCCTGATGGATTACCATGAATACGTGGTAAGTAGCTTGCCCCAATGCACCGACAAATAATCGTTAGCCTCTGAAACCAGTATGTGGATATTGCTTCACGATTACTGACAAAACGCTTGTCGGGCTTCCAGAGGCACGGCAGTGGACATGCAGGTAAGCATAACTCGAATGCCGCTCTTCATTAGAATGAGAGAGAAAACTTTCTGAATGGAAAGGGATTATAAAGGTCGAACTAGCTGAGCATGGAGCGCATGACCACGAAATAATTCCTCGTCAGTCCCGTGCGTAGACTCTTATACGCGGAGGGGTATATGCATTTGACCGTCTCGGAAGACGTGCGCGCACCTAGCCTGTCTTTCCTAAACTACAGCGAATATGATCATATTGTTGTAATTTTCTGTTTTTTATCTTAAACTTTGGTGTTTGTTTCTTAATTTGATGTAATTTAGTGTTAGGAAATTTGCTGTTTTTGTGTATACCCTTATTCACTTAGTCACTTGTATCTACAAACAGCATGCTGGACCAACTCAACACCCGGCCACACAGCCGGCTGTCCCTGCCCTAAGTCTGCGGCCGCTCTGGCCCGCACACGCGACCTCTGCCAGGTCACGCGGTCAATGGCCCGGAGCATGAACACAGCCGGTGCGCCGGCTTAAAACCGACGGGGCCGACTAAATGTTACCAGTGGAGCCCCTTGCCAATAGCCTATTAGGTATCACAGAAAACAATTCCACGCGTATTGAGTCGTACACTAGCGCACTCGATCGTCGTTTGCTCATCTGCAGTGCTCAGCTGGGGCCCGTGAAGGTGGCCACGTCTAGGTGAGCATTGCATACTTTCTGGAGGAGTTTTGTTCTGGTAAGGCATATGCCCTTCCGTCTAAGGGAAGGGCGTATCACGCGCCTGACGCTTGACGATCATGCCATCTCACTCCGAACATTGCGCACTACGCTTACGACAAGTGCGTGCTTCGTGGGCCCCACAAAGGGTTCCTGCTCTGTGAATCTCTATTCTGCGTGTCAAATTTTCCGGACGCTGAAGAGCCTTCGGTTGAAGTTTACCCCATGTTGAGATAATGGCTCAGTTTTAAAGTGTGCTCAGAGGTTCTTCATGGTACAACATTCACCATTTGAATGGGTCGAACGCGGTTTACTGTCAATGTTTGACACAGGATCTTGCGAGATTAATTTCAAGAGATTTATTCTACAGCACGAATTTTTAAAATTTGATTGCACCGAGAGTGAAGGTTCATTGCGCTGTCGCACATAGTAATTTTAGCTCCAAACCGAAAGAAGGTTCCCCAAATCATGGCGGCTCAGCCACATGTCCGCTCTGACACCGAACCCCCAAAGGACGAGTCATCAAGGCATGGTTTACAAGCTTGCTTGAGTGGGACAGATTGCCGCCTGATTTTCAGTGGACTGGAAACGCCCTTACTCAGCAAAAGTCGGTAGCAGTAAAAACGCAGCATCCCTTAGGAACATCCCGGATCAAAATTTTTCCTGGAAATATTATTCATCCAAAACCATTTTTGCGAAGGACACTCTGGGATCCCCCGTCTTTATTTCCGGAAAAAATCTGGAGTCGAAGGTAAAAGTTGATAGTTTGATCAGAAGATTTTGTTGGATCAATGCTCAGTTTTGCATCCATGCACATGTTAGATGCGTTCTGCATGTATGCACGAATGTTACCTGCTCAAATAGAAGCCAAATAGAAGCCTGTGCCACTAATTGATCCAATCCTTTGAAGGGATCACGCCTTTCTATAACCATTTGTATATAAAGTACGTAAAAGGTTGCAGCATGTTCTTCAATTTAATTGGCACCTTTGTGCCAACAACGTTCTCTTTGAGGTGCCATGATTCTGCAATGTTTCAGCCTTGCCGCTGGTTCTAGCGGAGGCGAGTGTCCGGTGGCACGACTCGTAATGTGGAAACGTTTTACTTGATAATGTTGAGGCTGAATATGAATGTAAAAATGGTAATATTCTAGTTTTGGAGAATGGCTGAGCGCTATTCATATTCAAATTTTCTGCACGCTTCTGGATAAATTAACGATCACGATATAGAACACGTATTTGCTCTAGAAAACAAGCAGACGTAACAACAGAATTCGAGTTGGAAGGGTTCGCTAATCAGGCGTTGCATAAACGCTCGCAGGCGAGCTTGTCACTTGATTCAGTTCATCGCGTCTTCGGCAAGCCAATGTTGTGCCAGGCAACCAGTGGCTGTGACCTTAATGACACGTGTGTGTACGCCCACGTGTGTGAAGGCTGGCCAATACAGTATTTCCAGTGCTCTGACCTGGTGTGCTGGCCATATGATTGCAGGGCACGCCGCTGTCACTGAGCGTGCTGACCTGTGTGATGGCCATATGATTGCTGGGCACGCTGCTGTCACTGAGCGTGCTGACCTGGGCGCTGGTCGTATGTTTGCAGGGCACACCACTGTCACTGAGCGTGCTGACCTGGCTGCTGGGCACACTCTCCGTCATCTGCCTCATCCTGACCTGGGTTGTATTCACGTTCACCAGGTGAGGCTGTGACAGTACATAGTGCGCCACGTCTTCAATCAAGTGAGCCGTTACGAAGTATCATTTCATTGTCAATACAGTGTTCAGCTCTTTGGAGCACTGCTTTTTTGTCTTGCCCGTTACATTCAGTCATATGTTTGCCTTCTACGCACGGTTTGTCGGAAGTGTAATTTGCATCACAAGCCGCAAAGTGTAGATTTTAATAAAAGCACGAAGCAGATCACCGAAACTTGCTGTTCCAAAATAAGCATTTGAGTTGAAAAGGGATGAGAACGATTTTTTGAAATGTTTTTGCATCCAGTCCTAACATGTAATTAATCATCCACTTCTGCAATGAAATTGCTTACTTCGTTGTCACGTTTTATATCCGATATATTTGAGAATCTAGTGAATATCATAGGCTACTAGAGCAGGCCAACCCTACTACAAACGGTAAAAATGAGTTATAACCGCTCTCGACGCTGATCACATACTGCAGAGCAAAAATGCAAGTCCGGTCATTGCTATTTTGCCTCTAGCGACCTGTATATCGCTACCATTAATGTGTCCAGTATATCATTCGTGTTATCTCCCAGGTCCAAGGCAGACAAGTTCACTCATGAAATCACAAGATAAAATTACAAAAATTGAAAATGAAATGCATTATGTCCTTGCTGTAGAGGTCGTCTTCACAGTCGTAAATTATTCATTACGCTGACATGCATGAACCTGTCTTATTTCTCGCCACTCGGCCATATTTAACATCTTGCCAGGGTTCAACGAAATGAAACATTGCCAAAGGTTATCCGCGCCATTTTCCAACCGCAAAGAACATGTTATCGATGTCAAACTCGTTGCACTGCAACATCCAGACACTAAATGCTGTTTGAGTGACAATTCTTTGTTAGCCAAATATTCTGTTTAATGACACAGCATATTGAATTGCGCGATAACATACTCGTTACCGATTTATTTACTTGCAACGCATTCACGACGGATTGTGACACAACTACACAAAAACTAGATGCACAGAATACAAAGAGAAGTCGCGTTATTACATAGGCCCACGGCTCCGGTGGCCGTCACCTGGCGTCTGGAGTTTGTATGCCTGTCTTAAATTCACGGCTGGAAGCGTTAGGCTGGAAGCGAAAATAGTTACTTACTGTAACTATCTTCGGAGGTGCTATGCAGTTTTATGTGTTCACAACCATTTGTTGAAGAAGAACAAAAGGGGAAAGGGAAAAGAGGTAGGGGGGAGAGTAGTTAAGAGAGCCAGCCTATGGCGGGCGCCCTGGTCTTCTGGTGATGGTTCTGCTGTGAGGACGAGTGCGTGCGTTAGGTTTAGTTACAGCCCGTTTCTGCGCGCAGTCCTCCTCCAGATGTACCCACCGCCGTCAGATCGCTGCGCTGCTGCCGCACCACCATCACACGCCACCTGTGCGCCACATACGCCGCCGGCCTGTGCTGCTTCTCACTGTCATGGACCGCCACCTGGTCTACTTGAGCCCATCGCCTGCAGCCTCGCCGGCATGGCCATCCACTACTGCTTCCTCTCCGTGTTCGCCTGGAGCATGGTGGAGGGCGTCCACCTGTACAAGGTGTTGCGACACGTGTTCGAACCCAAGAGTAACTCGATGACCAGGTGGGCACCGGCAGGTAGGGTGGCAGAAAGCGGACCCGACTGGAGCGCCGTGGCCCGATGGCGGGGGGGGGGGGGCGTCCTCCAATTACGTGTGGAATTAGTGGAGATTATGCACTCCCCACAGTGATCATGTCTTGGACGCGTGTCGTAAGAAATACGAAAATTGGGACTCGATGCTCTCAAACTTTGTTGTATCGCCATCTTGATCTAGGCATTGTGCTCGATAGTGTAGAAATAATCTCATGTCATGCCAGAAGTGACCTGTTAACGTTTGAAGACTTCAAAGCTAGCAGACGAGCGCCACGTTGAGAAGGGTTGTGGGCAGGGTAGGGTTTCCCGTGTTCGCCATCATCAGGTGCCAGAACCCCTCTATTGATCTTCGCTCAATCTGCTAGCCTGAGGAGCGCCCGAAGGCAAACATGTCAGTTTTACCCAGGGTTGAGGTTCATCTGCCATTTCTAGATGTTTTTGCATGCTTCTATTACACGGGCTTTTGCCGCGGCAGTACGCCTTTCATGAGAGACCGTGTGTTTCTATTGGGTTTTCTTCTGCCTTGTTACTTCACGCGGAAGTGTCCGAGCCTGGGATGCTGCATCTTCTTTGCTTTGTTGCTCCCATCCACCAAGCACGCCGCTGGATATATGTGGGCCAGGGGTGTGAGGCGGTGTTGGTCTGCCTCAGGTATTACATGTACGGCTACCTGGGCCCTGCGCTGATCGTGATCGTCACCAACACGGTGGCGCTGGGCACCGACCAGTACGCCTACGTCCGGGATGAATTGTGAGCTCTACGGCGCTCCGCCTTTTGGTCACCTACTGAGAGATTCGCTCGCCAATCTGTTGCAATCAGCACGCCTTTCATATTCATGCATTTTTCTTTGCCTACCTGTCTGACTTTGTGTCAGTAGGTTCCGTAGCGTTCAGCAGGTTACTGGCGGCGTCTATAAAGAGTTGTGCTTATCTGATGCATGGTCATTGGGTATTTATCGCACGTCGTGTCGTACGATCATATGCTTATCAATATTGTGTGTGCCCGTCTGCTTAGTGATCCATTTACTTCGTGTGCATGGTGTTGCATGCAATAACATTAGCCGTTTTTTCTCAAGGATTGCGATGCAAGGTTTTAAAAACTTCTAAAAATGTTTAGCGCTTATTTTCCAACGAAACGACTTTTACCCACGATTTTCGGCTAAAAGTGTTTTGTGGAGTTAAAAAGTATGCTTGTAATTACGTAAATTTGGGTAATATTGTGGTTTACTGGCTATCAGCAAGATCATGTTTTATTTATGGACAGGCATGATGCCAGATGTCTTCCCACCGAAACGTTTTAAAGCCTTTCAAAAACGTTCAGTGACATGTCTGACGCAGACGCGACAACAAAAAACTCCAACATTCTGGCCATGGCCCTGCTCATAGTTTTTCTGGCCATGTCCCCTGCAGTGCTTGCAGTGGTTAACTACCAGCACATGATCCATGATGAATGATCCTTGACTTAAATCATCGGAAAGCCCCCCCCCCCCTGCTCCACACGGTGCCGACGGTAAACAATGTTGGCACCGCGGAGGCCCCCGACGGTTTACACGGCTGATTGCCAGGCCTGGTATTCGCCAGAATTTGATTGAGCTTAAGACATGGATTGAAAACAAATGTCTATAAAGAGATTTATTTCTTGTAATGAACTTATTTTTAACAAAGCATACAGGTTAGCTTCTGAATGTCAATAAAATTGCTTGAAAATGACCATTTTCCTTGTCAAAGTCCGTAAGTATATACCAAACTTCCTGGAGGCATTTTACAATTTTTTTGATGACTTTTAGCGTATTGAACTGTCGTGGAAGTGGCTATTATGTGCATTAGCACATTGCAGATCTTCTGGTAATTGCGCATGCGAATAAAAACGCTGGGGGCAATAATCCGCAAGCTAGCTATAAACTGTGTACACGATTTTAGTGACCAGAGTATTCGCAAATGCACACACCGTGTGCTAAAATGCGTTGTCAGCGTAGTTTACATTTGATGTAATCAATGAAACCAATCAATAAGGCCACTCACGTTGAACATTGTGATGTATGATGTGAATTGAACGCCAGAGAAGAGGACTTCGTAATGCCCACAGTGTGCGCATACCGTTATGTTCGTTACGTAAGTTGTTCAGTGCATTTGCGAGGAACATTACGCATATAGATGAGATCGGAATCAATATCCGTTCTTCCTCGTAGAATAAACAAGGAGAATGGAGACACAGATGTGATATTTCGGCTACATGTCTTACCGAAAAGACTATCAGTAGAAGACCTTGAATTTACGACTGAATTCGTTTCGATAAGGGCATGCAGCCGAAATGACGCATCTATCTCTCCGTTCTGATTTTTCTTTTAGGAGGAATTCATGCTTTTAATACTGACTCATCGTTGTATTCCTTGTATTCAAAACTGAATATTTACAGTTCTCCACCTGCTTTACTTTTCCAGTTGCTGGCTGAAGGTCCCCTATTTCATCTGGTTCTTCAATGGCCTCTGGCAGTTGTTTTGATCGTAAGTATGAGTCGCTGTTTGACTGACGGACATCAAGAGAATGGGCTTACCTTGCCACTTCAAAATGAAGACACAAAGGCATTGTCATGAAAAAGCACGTGCACACGAACAGATACAGACACTGGTACGCACGCACGCACGCAGCTGTGTGTGTCTGTCCTGGCGGAGACTGACAAGCACATGACAAGACGCGTCTCGGGTAGCTGTGGGCTGGCGGCGGCCGACACCAATGAAGAGGCTGCTAATGCCCTTATTACCAAACCTTTGGTGTGATCTGTGCTGTGAGGCTTGCAAAGTAGCGTTGCATTTCCCACCCCCGAGCGTGCCGTGTCCTGCCTGCCCAAGGGACGAGTTGTCTCCATTGGTCCGACGTGGTTCACTGAATCGACGTCAATGTTTCGTCCGCTTGGTGAAACTGACGCTTGGGTCTGAACACGCCGTCACACACAATGCACTGGTTGCACCATTGAAACGGCAAACAAACAAGCCAGCCACTAAGTTGCGATCTTCACCTGGAGTGGAATGCCGTCCACCCTTGCCACTGACTACCCCGCGTGGAGCTCATAAACACACACAAACGTCACAATATGGTTCGTCCCGCGCGGTCAGTTCCTGGCGTTGCCTGTCTCCTTGGTTTTCATGACCCTGGCGCTGTAGACGACTACGCTGACCATCTCCCTGCGGTCGCAGATGAACATGCTGGTAGTGGTGCTCGCGTTCCGTTCGGCGGCATCTCTAAAGGTGAATCAGTTACGGGCCAAGAAGGAGCGCATCAAACGGTGGCTGAAGGGGTGGTTCTGCCTCTCCTGTCTGCTGGGCGTCCAGTGGACTGTCGGCTATCTACTGGTGGATGGCTCCAACGTCTTCGACTACGTCTTCACGGTGCTGAACTGCTCTCAGGTGAGGAGTGAGACTTCTGCACGGGTGTCAAAAGCTCTAACACGTGGTGCACAGATCACATGAGTAGCATATCAATAGCCTCTGCAGGAGCGCTCCGTCATAGTAGAAGGCCGTCGAAGCATGATGTGTATGGCGTGAGAGGAACTACAGTAGTTTGATGTGCTTCAGTAGTTTTGGGCTAACTGCTCTGCTTCGGGCTCCTTCGCTCACTCGACTTCACAACCGTGGTCGATCAACTGGCAACTGCTCATTGGTTGATATCCACTACTATAATGTGGTCCATCCCGCGCTACGGTCATGAAATGTAAGTTGTTTCGGCTGCCCAACAGTTGTGAAATGTACTGGATGAACCTTCATAGGCGGGGTATAAAAAGCATTAGTGGCCAGTATCAATTTATTATGCGAACAAAATGTATAAGTCGCCTATGTTGCACACACGAGCACAAAACGGGGTAAATCTGAACATATTGTTGAGCTTTCAAAGGTGATTGAAATATCCTACATGCTTTGACACTTCGGCGTTGTGACTATTTTGAACGCGAATTTATAACGTGCGAACCATGTTAGGGATCAGTGGCGCGTGCAGGGTTCTAAAATGTGAGGGTTTAAGAAGAAATACAACCATTTGACATTCGGGCAAAACGTTGCAATGCAAATATAGATTGATTGGCTCTCTCCTCTAAATTGCGATCGCTTGCACCTGCTTCCGGCCACGCCACATACCGTTTATAGATGTAGAACATGCAGAGTCGGGTCGCTCAAAAATGCGTGGTGCAAGGCTGATGTACCTAGAATCGCGACTTCTTCCCCATGCTTCGATATTTAGCACCAGACTTGTGACCTGATACGTTCACCCTGCAGTGTATCATTTGCATGCAGTGCACCATTTCCTGGGGTGTGGTAGCTGAGCTTGGGTCTCTTAATGCCGTCCCCTTGATTCACTCTACCACATCTTTCATCCGTCCCTACAATATCTGTGCATTCTAATCAAAGACAAGACCGCCTCTTAGCTTTAAAAGCATATGAAAGCAAAGATAATCAGAGGGTGCCTTCACGCCCATTATAAACGTAAATCAATACATTAAAACCAACATACTGTGCTTCGAAATCACCGTCAGTTCGTCATGGAGTTTCCTTCCTTGCGCGCCGTCTACATCCCGCATAGTAATCCAAAGTTTTCAGGTGGCGTGGGTTAACTCCTCTGCGTGATTACCACGAGGCTGCAGGCGAGTGAATGTTGAGAAACGGCAAAATTAGTGCTTTGGCGGCTAGCGTCGGTCTTGCTCGTCTGCCGTGCTTTCTGGAAACTAACACATGTAATACCACCGAATCGCAGGTTTACTCAGTTTCAGCGATATTGCAATATCACTACTTTTTAGCCCCCTCCCCACCACCCCCTTATTGAACTAGTATAGAAGAAATAAAATCTCTCCATGGCGGGCAAAAATTGAAGAACCGGGCTAAAACCGGGTCCATATTTCCACAGTCTAACGTAGCAGGCGACATGAGACTAACTGATGCTAGCGGAGGGAAAAAAAACGGCCAGATCATACTGGAAACAGCATGGACCGGCGTGCTGAGACCAGCACGCGTTATCTTGTGTAAGCCATACATCCACGGGAATGTTGTCGTTTCTGAGGATTGATATCACATTACAACACCCGACAGATTGAGTTCTGAGGATTGATATCACATACAACGCCCGACAGGCTGAGGCGTGAAACCGACTACAAGATATATGCGGATACACCGCCTACCGCCCGGTGGACACACCGTCTACCGTTTACCAAAACAAGATGTAAAAGTCAAATATAAAAACTTCTATAAAGGGTCTTCAAACAAGAGGACATCACAGGGTGGAATATGTCCAGAGTGACCCACGTGGAAAGAGTAACGGGATGTGTTGGGTACAGATTTTACACGAATTACGCAAAATGGGGTATGGGTGCAGATGAAAAGCTCACGGAATGGTCGGGAAGATGCTTCAAGAAATTCCACCTAGCGTTTCCACTTGGATATCCTTCAGGGTTTAACAATAACAATACAAATAATGAATTTCGGGGCCCATTAACACTACTTTTACCGTTATTAAAGCGACACAGTCAAGTTCGTTGTAATTTACTGGAAACTTTTCAATAATCTAGAATCAAAGTGCTGGAAATAAAAATGGGTGGGTACGGGGCGGGTGCAACAGATGGGGAGTGGTTAGCGGGTGGGTGTGGGCTCAGCCCAGTGGGCAGTGGGGTAGATTTGGCGGAGGAAGTCTTGGCATGGAAAACCTATGCTTTAACAGCCCGAGCCATATATACGCCAGTAATCGACGCATCTTTGTTAGTCCCATTCAACTGACCTGGGTGGCCGTCATGCCTCCAAATGGCTCATGTTATCGTGAACGGTAGCCACGGTGAAAACTTGTCTGACCTCGCGTTACCTCGGAGATCGAACTAGTCAGGGTCTAAAACCTTGAGCTTGAAAGATTCACGTGCTAAAAACCATGAGTTTATGTTAGGTTGGTACGTGCGGTTCTATTAATCTGTTTCACTAACATTGATGGAGACCTGAATGCTCGTCTCGGTTGACTCTAAGCTCTGGCAAGTGGGTTTTAATACATTGCGCTTAAAAATGGCTAATATAGTCGTTTTTGGAGCAATTTGAAAAATTAGAAGAAGTTGAAAATGTTATCTTTTTCCCACTTTGTAAGTCGTATGCTCTCATTAGCGGCTGTGCTCTTATTACAAGTGAGCGGTTATTAGTGATATTGAGGATATAGTGGTACTGAGGTTAATATTAGTGAGTGGCTGTTTTTCCGATGGCGCTGACATTGCCTGGCATTTTTGTTAACGTCTTGCTTTTAGATAACCCTCAATCTAGGCAGTGGCCCAAATTAGTGGCATCCAGGTTCCAAGCTAGTGGCATACGACTCAGCAGTGCAATGTTTACCGATATACAGAGTTTAGGTGAGGACACAGCATCCCAGAATGAGTTGGGGCTCAGCAGTGCAAAATGACAAACCCTACGCCAAAATGCGCTCCAACACTAGTTTCCCCCCGGATTTGGTCCATCTCCTTCTCGAAGTGCTGGGCGAGGGCGTTGGAGCCCCTTTCCTCCCCGTTGAATGGGAAAGTTCATCCTCGGTTTCAACCAAATCCAAGGAGGCCCAAATAGCCATGTCAATATCGATAGCGAACTCATGCTGACTGCACGGCTTAAGCACGGCGCGGTCTCGATCAATAAAGGGCTTAGCGCATGCATGTGAGGCGACACCACGTCATTGCCACGCCATGAGCTCCACGCTATGAATCATAGTCGAGCCGGAAACTTCAAAAACCGGAAACAACTTCTGTAATAAGTTTATTATGAGCATGCATATGCTTCATTGTAACGTAGGACGTATGCATTCTTTCGAAACATCTTGAAATCTAAGAAATCATGCGTTTTAGAGGCGGCTAGCGTATCCTCCATTACAGACTTCCACGCCAAGGATCCGGTTTCGAGTGGCAGCACAGGTCATGCCTACGGAGGAGGTAATGTGTTGACTTTTAGGGCGGCTAGCCTATCCTCCATCACAGACTTCCACGCCAACGATCCGGTTTCGAATGGCAGCACAGGTGATGCCTACGGAGAGTAATGTGGTGGCGCGCATCGCGCCGCGCCTGCATATCTGAACAGGAAGCTGTTCGCGAGAGCTCGTGAGCCATTAAAACAGCGACAGCAAAATAAACAGGGGTGAGCAAGGCCCTCTATACTTTCACTCACGGGGAGCTGCTGGGAGACCCTGGAGGTCCTAGAGGTCTCTTTATCCGTATGGGGTGCGGGTCTGCGGGCAGTGCGATACGGCACGTTCCGCAGCATGGGCCGCGGCCGTCTGCGTTAACAAGAAGCGTGCCCGTGGCTGGCGCTGAAGGAATGAGCCGACTGACGTACCGTGAATGTGCTTCGAAACTGCATACGATACGTTCGTGTCTTGAGTATTGCAACAAATTCCTAAATGCATTACCAGGATAAGTTATTATCACTGTGCTTCCTTCTAACCATAACATCCTTCTATTGCTGTATCCCCACTGTATACGGAGAGGCAACACAAGAGCCATTTGCGCTCCTCTCGCTCTGTCTCTGGGCGGCCGAAGGCTGGCACGAGGACCGTACTCGATCCTTTTGCTGTCTCCCTGACCGGAGGCACATGAATTAGGCACGCTCCTGTTGCTTGGTTCCTGCTGTAAGGAGAGGTGCGGCGCAAGGTTCGTGTATGTTCCTGTTGCCATGCCTGCACGCCCTAATGTTAGCGGCCAGCTGGCGGCCTGCAGGTGCCTGCAGCCAGGCCATTAAAATGGCGTCAGCAGCGGGGTCAGTGGACGGGCAGTGGCGGTGGTTCGCCGCTGCCAGTTCCGGTTCACACCCGCTGCGATCGGCAGCACTTCTGTTGCCTGCTGATCAGAACCAGGGTTTGACGCGTAGCTCCTCCACAGCGGCACCCAGGTATGTTAACGGCAACGCGCTGCCCTGCGGCGGTGCGGTGTAGGCGCAGGGTCGCTTTGTGCAGCCGACGAGCTCAGCTCGTGGTCCGGCGTGAGTTACGTCTGCGCCTTGTTCGGAGCGCGTGCGGTCGGCACGTCTGTCGGCCGGCTGCCGCGGCGCGGCGCGGGCAGGAACAGGAACCGTGCTGTGACGGCCAAGGTCGGCTGTGCCGCGCCCGCCGGTGTCGGCCGGTCGGCAGACCCGGCCCGCTGCCAGACGCGGCGTCAGCGGCGTCCACCGCCTGACGCGGCACGGGTCGATCACTGCCGCCCGGCCACACTGCTGACCGTGCTGGTCAGCTGGGCGCGTGCTGGCCACCCAGCGGCATCACACAGACGCTTCTGTAGCTGGAGCTGAGGGACAGTGCAGCAGCCGGAAGCTAGGAAATAGGGTCTCATTTAAGTACTCTGTCAGGTCCGACGACAGAGGGTAAAACGAAGACCAGGGTTTAAGTGCGGAGCCGGAAGCTGTGCTAATATGTAAGCAGGAAAGAATTACTAATTGTTGTGGTTAACGTAATTACGGGCAGCAACGGTGAATCACTATACGCGTTCAAGGACGGTGATGATTAGATCCATGATAAGTGCATCGAGGGTTTAAAAACCACATCAGATTCGACGTGTTATCAGTCAACCTCAGTCTTCGATGAGAGCTAGGGCCAGACAACCGGAGCCGAGTGATCCGGGTTTAACGGCTACCATTCGCGCCTGTTACGCAATGACAAATGCTGAACAAATACCACCACTGGTAAGTTGCGGTACGGAAAAAGCATGCGGGCTTTCCCTGGAATGATAGCTGCGAACTCGAAGGCGCGACAACTTACTATGCTTACGCGCTTTCGTACCGTACCAATGCGCTAGGAAGTTGTGCACACCTGCGCGAGCCCCTGTGCATTCGTGGACAATATGAGGTAAAGCACGACAAAGTTATAAGCACGGTTGTGCATAGTGCATTATGCCTCGGTGCCTCGACTTCGAAACCCGTTGATCATGTTCCTAGCAACACCAATCTTACAGTGGGCTCGGGGGCAGTTACACCCAATATTGCTTTTCTTCCCCACACCGTTTATGGTCGCCTACCCGATAAGAGCTTTATTCGTGGCTGAATTGGCTCTGTATCGCGATGAGCCTCACCTGCGTCGTACCTGGGGTAGCGATGGTGGCGCCGCCGCTCCCCCGGCTGGGGAGGGGTGGGGAGGGTCGTCCCGCTGGCGCAGTTCTTGCCTCCGCGCCGACTCCCCGTGATCTCCGCCAGCGCCACTGTGGCGCGGTGACGCCGTGGTGCTGGTGTTGCGCGCGGTCCTCCGGCGCGGACGGGTGAAGTGCACGTGACTTCTGATTACAGGGGATCCTGATCTTTGTGTTTCACTGTCTGCTGCGCTCGCGGACGCGCCAGATCCTGCTGGGCCGCTTCAACACGGCCAAGAGCAGCACCATGATGAACAGCGTCTACGGCCAAATGGTGGTGAGTGGTGCATGATTGTCCCTCTGTGCCCCTAGCCCTTCCGCTATTGGCCGGTAGGGCCGCTTTTTGTGTGGTAACACAGTTCTCCGAGACGGTGTGCTCTTATGAAGTCGAAGGAGGTGAACTAGTCGAATTTCCCCGCCTAAGTAACACTGAATCTGCATTTGAACGGCTCTGACCTTTGCTGGTGCTGGATGCTATCGAGATGTTGGCTGGTATGTCGGTTGGCAAAGCGCGGCTAAGTCGATGTGTCAAACGCCGCTAGAGGAAGTTTTGCACAAATAGATTGTGGATCAGCCCGTTCCTCGCGTGGGCCGTTGAGCTGGTCTGGCGTCATATGTGTGCCTTTGGTGAGCCTGCAGTTGGCCCAGCAGAAGAGTCAGCAGTGTCGGCAGACGCGCCAGTCACTCGACACCTCCATCACCACGCTGTCTTCTCAGCCGGCCGGTATCAGCTCCGACTCCGAGTCATCTCCGGCCAGGTAACGCTCTTGTGGCCTGATGTGCCGCCTGAGTTAGCTGGTGTGCAGCCCACTCGTAAAGCCGGACGATGCGTAAAGAGGCAGCAGACGAAAGATGTCATACCAATGGAGAGGAGATGCCTCAATTTCTAGATGTTGAGTGAAATGTGTCTTTTATGATTCTTTTAACATTCACGCAAAATCAGTCACGGCCTCAATGGTGCCCTTTTAAGTATTAGGTGCATATGCGTAGTGTCAACATCGCGATCCCTCCAATGGTGCCGGATTGCCAGTGGTGCGGTCATCGCCGACCGACCCTCGTCAGCCAGCCAGTAGCGAAGTGTGGGCTGCCGCCGGCAGCGCGCGGAGCCGCTCGTCTGACGAGTCCGGCTCGAGGAGGCGCTCCCGGCCGACCAGCGGCCGCCATCTGAGCCGTCAGCGCCAGGCCACCGACGGCCAGCCGACCGGCACCCAGAGGGCCGCGTCAACCCAGGTCAGCCAGGGCCACACTCAGCCTGCGGCGCCACGAACCGTCTCGAAGTGCGTGAGGTCAGCGCGCAAGTCACATGGCCAGCAACCCCGTCAGCGTCGCTGCCGGTGGCTGTGGCTGGTCGGTGATCGCGCCAATGTCGCTGCCGGTGGCTGTGGCTGGTTGGCGACCGTGTCAGCGATGTGACGGTGTTGCCGGCAGCGTTCGAGCCGGAGGAGCCGTGGACGCCGTTGCCGGACATCTCTGAGGAGGCCGAGCAGACCTCGCGCCGCGCCGGGGCCAGCTACGCACCAGGCTGAGCGAAGCGCGCCGGACGCCTCCCGCCGCGTGGCGGCCCCGATGGGCGCAGAGATGTACAGGTGCGCGCGGGTGACCGTTTTGGGGTCCCTCACAGACAGATGGGGGCGAGGCATGGCGGCACTCGTGTACATCATGGTGCTGATCGTCCGGCAAAGGGGCAGGGTCCGGCTGGACCCCACTAGGGCGTGCATAATTGAAGATGTCGTGTTGTCCATTGGTTTTAACACGCGCTCGGGTGGGGAGGGAGGGGGGGGGGGCGGGGCGGTCAAATTGCCCCCCCCCCCGAAGGTCTTTCCTGAATGGTTTCTCCGAATTTTGCTTAGCTGTAGACAATTGAATAGTGGATCGTCGACATCAAAAATTTAGATGCACCTGGTAAGGTCGCTGACTCATGGCAGGGTCAAAGTCAGGCAATGGTTTTAGCGAAGGCTGTCTCTATGGAATTGGTCCAATCTGATACAACAACGAAGTTTTGACGAAGCCCTACATCACTGAGATGCTTTTTTAGGCACCACAAATATTGAATGAGCAAATTACGTTGACCCAAGTTCAGGTACAAAGCTCAGACCAAGATCACAACCAACGTGATTTATTACTCTAGGGCTTGCTGTATGGGACAGTCTGTGGTGCTCATTTCAAATCCATTGACAGCAGGAACTACATTATACATCTTCCGTTGACTTCTTAGAGGTCAGAAAAGGTCATTAACCCAATATGACCTGGGTCGACGTTTTGTTTTAGGAGCATACTGCCTAGCGTAATCTTGTCGCTTATTCAAATGGAAAACTCAGAGCAGTATTGTATGGGTTTTAGTCACCATGGCCTTAAAAAGGTCAAACAAGGTCACTGACCTCAAATGGGCTTCTGATCTTTTGCTTGGGAACATTTGCCTAAATTCTGGGGCACTTGGAGACCAGCCTGGAATTCGGCCTTGTTTGACCTTATTTTGCCTGAAGGTCATGACCTAGGAAGCTCACACATTGATCTAAGTGAGTTCACGTACAGGTCAAGACACCCTGTAAATTTAGTATATCTAGCTTTCCTAGTTCCCGAGTTCTCAGGGGAGAGGGTGTCAAATTGACCCCCCACCCCACCCGAGCGAAGGGTATCTAGCCGGCCACCCGGGCGCGCGTTAAATGTGCACGGGGATACTGTTTGCGTGCCCGACAACAGACTTATCAATATTGCTGTCGTTACTTTCTCGTGGTTGCTTAACACTTCTTAGATCACTTTGTTCGTGCGATAAATGCGGTTTTCAGTATGCTAGCTTTATCATATTCTTCGGTAGACATTGCGCAGTGCTGCGTAAGCGTTGTACGGTGCTGCTGTACCCAGTGACGACTGTTGTGACGGCGGTGGTTGATGCCGGTAGGAGTCACAGCGTCGGCCACTTGCGCCACGGGAGGAGGGTCCGCTGAGTCAGCGCCTGGGCCGCGCCGGCCTGCTGACACGCACGTGCTTGCCGTCGGCGGTGTCTACCCGGGGCGGGTTGCCCCAACACTGGAACATTTCATCTTCTCCGGAGATCTTGTCTTGTTCATTCTGCGAGACAGGGTCGCCGTCTGGTCGCACTGGTTGACCGATCTGTCGAGGCTTCGCGAGAGCTATTGATCACTGGGTATTCTACTAGTCCGCCCGGCTTCGCCAGCTCGGGCGGTTGTCTAAAACAGACCCCTGTAGTCTGCTGCGACCACCCTGCTGTAACAAGCGGGGAAACATAGCTGTCCCGGTGCCGACCGAACACAAATGCACCACCGCTGTAATGATGATCAAATCATGGAATCGAAGCGTGGTGTCCGTGCGCATGTGGCAACTCTGAACAAATGACACTGGATATGTTTATTTAGTCTGAAGATTATCTCCCGGTGAGATTCCCTTTCGCTTGCTTTTGTGACGTCTCAGCACTGAGAGACATATATGAGCCGCGTCGAGGGCGGTCAGCTTTACTGTGGGTGCTGAAAACCCCGGCTTTCCTTTCTGTGCTGCGTCACGCTGTGTTTGCATCCGTACTTGCTTGCTCCCAGCGTTTGGACTCTTTTGACGAGGCAGTTCTGCCACAGCCACTCCTGCCATGTACGCGTAACGTGTGTCTTGCAGCTGTGCTTCGCCGCCTTTGCAGGTTTGATGCCACCTATCATCTCCTAAAAAACAAGTTTGTCGTGATGCTCTGTGGATCGTCCTGTCTTCAACGCTTTGTTATTCGTATCGAGTAAGATTCCGAAATAGAAATCTCTTGAAGTAGATACGCGTGTAGAAGTTCGTGGTTTTTAGCTACGACTGAGAGCATTATCGTAGCGTATCGTACATATATTTTACGGCATCCTTAGGTGTAGGGTGCATGATTGCTAAGAGTGTGCTGCTTTAAACGCAAATACAGAAAACACGCTGCTGAATAGTACAGGTGCTGTCAATGTTTCACAAAGCCGCCGCCATGGACCGCGCCCTATGGTGACGGATCATTGTAAAGGTGACCGGCTCCAGTCGGCCAGTTGAGGCCGAGACTGGGATACACGGCTCCCTGCATTTGAACTAACCCGGAAAAAGTCGGAATGGAGAGCAATTTGCGGTGAAAGGTCAGGCGCTCCACCCTTGACATGATCCAAAATTTCCGATGCACCTGTAAGGTTCCTCGATTGTGATGCAGATACACCCAATGGGGATAACGCTTGGCTATGATGCATATGGCGAGCGCTTGCCTGGTGTGTCCTGTCCTGGCCTGAAGACAATGCTCATCTGGGCCATGCGAGCCGTTCACGTCCAGAATCCGTTCCATCAGTGCTAGTCCTGGTCCCGAGAGAGAGAGAGAGAGAGAGATAGAG